AAGCATTTTCCCTTCTATGTGCTTTCGGAATTATAAGTTCATATAGAGAAACAAAGAGAAGGCATTTGATAGAGTATAATATCATAACAAAGGGCTGTTATTCCGAAATGAGAGGAAAAATCATGCCTAAGCTGTAAGTTGATGCTGCTAGAAAGTCATGATTATTGCCTCGAATAATGAAATATTGGTGGAAGAGAAGAACAATCCAATAATGTTGAAGTATACCTGCAAGAAAATTGTGATCTAAAGCAATACAGAAAGTCCATTCTTGTGAAAGATAATTAATCAGCTAGAACAGTTATATGTGAGTCACTGAAAATCACATTTTCCAGTAGTAAAATTGTTTATTATCCTTAAAACACTCCATAAATGAATATAATTTGTTCAATGTTAGACTGGTTGAAAGACAATTCAAGCCAAGGTGACATTTAGAGAGATCAAGAACCAATTTTGTTACATGACAAGTTTCAAATAGTTGATTACTTGTACTTCATTTGTTTGACTGCAAGCAAAGAGGGCAATGATAATTTAATAATATTCGATGTATGTAACGAACTCTACCCGTAAATTTTTATTTAATTTTATATAGAGTTACCAAATGCAAATACTCGTAATACATATAAAATTTTATCTCAAATCTTAAATTGTATTTCCAACCGTCGTCCAACACTTTAATCAATTAACTAGTTGAGTAAGTTGACAACCTTGACATCCATAGACTATAAGATCACAACGAGTGTATTTGAAGGTGGGTTATAAAGTATTCCCTCCGTCACTATTTGTTTGCCCATTGTCTGTTTTTGAATCAAACTTTAAAAAGTTTACCAATAATCCAACGCTCTAATCAAACTTTAAAGGATATTGTTAGAATTGTTATACTGTGTGCTTTAAGAGATTAATACTCCGTACTTTGTATTTTACAATTTTTGTGTGTATATAATTGGCGAAATTAATTGTTTAATTTACTCATATGACATATGTTAAAGACTATGCATAGTCAAATGAAATAAACAAATAGAGACAAAAAAAGTAACGACAATGTGGGCCATGAGGGTCTAGGGTAATTCGGAGTTTTAGGACCACACTAGATGCAGTGTTTTGAGTAACTTGATTTAATTTTGAGCATTATTTATCTATTACTCTGTAACCAACATTTTAATAAATTAGTTCATTATTCATCTTTTAACTTTGACTACATGACTACACTTTTTACATATATATAAAAAATAAATTTTTGTGTAAAATATTGTTGAATTAATATCTATGTATATTTTCAAAATATAATTTTTAATTTTTTTTTTGAAACAAATTTTTAATTTTTTTTATTAATTAATGTATATGAAAATTATTGTTAAATTACTAAAAAAAAAAAAAAATCTAATATATATATATATATAAAGTAGGCATTTTTGGAGAGCATTCGGAGCGCCACGTAAGAAATATACTTATTTCGACCAATAAGAAGAAAGATTTGTATTTTATTTTTGAATTAAAAAATTATGTCGCCACCTAGATAAATGTAACGAATTAGATTTGATATATCTAAAATTTTAATGCCACGTAGATTATAATCCACGAATTAAATTATTTTAATGAAAAAAAATAAAGTAAAAATATAGGAAAAGATGAATTTATTAATTCAATACTACGAGTATAAGAAATCCGAAAAAAAATATACTAAAAAATATTTAAATGATAAACGCTTATAATAAAGTTTGATACCTATCATTATAAGATAAATTTTGATAGTAATTATGATAATAAATACAAATTATTCGTTAATTATAATTAAATTAAAATTTGTGATACCTACCATTATAAATTGACACATCATACGACACAAACAAAATTTCTTATCAATAAAGAAAACCCCATCAAGCGAATTTTATGTTAGTAATTTTGTGTAAATTTTTGGTCATCAATGGCCGGGTAATTTTTAGCTTAATTTTTAAAATCCTATGTTTAAATTAGTATTTCTAATTATTACTTACATTGTATTAATTTGGGATAGTCAACGATTATATGTTTATGTTTTACTTACTAAATGTTTTTTTTACATGCAGATCTATCTAACACATCATACAACACAAATAAAATTTCTTATCAATACAAAACCTCATCAAGTGAATTTTGTGTTAGTAATTTTGTGTTAGTTTTAGGTCATCAATGTCCGGGTAATTTTCAAAATCTTATGTTTAAATTCATATTTGTACTTATTAGTTACATTGTATTGATTTAGGATACTTAACGATTATTTGTTTATGTAATGGCATACAATTAGATGTTGTATACTTAATATATGGATGGCTTTGGTTATTTTTGGAGATGATGAAAAAATTCCAATGCATAGATTTGATTTTATATCGCAATAATTTTTCATTTATTGGTAAATATATTGATTTATTTTATATAAATGTAAAGATTTAATTTATATCAATTTCAGTTTGGTTAACATTTCACGGTTCAATTTATCCATTGATGTAGTAGCTTGGTTGTGGACGAGCTTAGTGATTCTATCGAAATAAAAGATATGGTAAAACAATGAATACTGATTTAGGATTTTAATTATTAAAATTTTATCATTTCACATTAAAGATTTTATATAACGGAAAAAATATCATATTTACAATTTATTTATATTTAATAAATTCATTATAAATTATAGTAAAAAAAAATATTAAACTTTTGTAATTTTGTTTGAAATTATTAAATACAATAAATCAAATAATTAAAATCTTAGATGAAAAAACCTTAATATACTTATTTCGACCAATAAGAAGAAAGATTTGCATTTTATTTTTGAATTAAAAAATTATGTCGCCACCTAGATAAAAGTAACGAATTGGATTTGATATATCTAAAATTTTAATGCTAAGTAGATTATAATCCACGAATTAAATTATTTTAATGAAAAAAGTAAAGTAAAAATATAGGAAAAGATAAATTTATTAATTCAATACTACGAGTATAAGAAATCAAAAAAAAAATATACTAAGAAATATTTAAATGATAAACGCTTATAATAAAGTTTGATACCTATCATTATAAGAAAAATTTGGATAGTATTTATGATAAAAAATACAAATTTTTCGTTAATTATAATTAAATTAAAATTTGTGATACCTACCATTATAAATTGACACATCATACGACACAAACAAAATTTCTTATCAATAAAAAACCCCATCAAACGAAAGCGAATTTTGTGTTAGTAATTTTGTGTTAATTTTTTGTCATCAATGGCCGGGTTTTTTAGCTTAATTTCTAAAATTCTAAGTTTAAATTAGTATTTCTATGTTTAACAATATTTTTAAAACAATGAATAGTATTTCTATTTAAACATAAGATTTTAATTTATATCAAACGAGGTTGGTGATTCTATCAAAATAAAATATATGGTAAAACAATGAATAGTGATTTAGGATTTAAATTATTAAAAATTTATCATTTCACATTAAAGATTTTATATAACGGAAAAAAAATATCATATTTACAATTTATTTATATTTAATAAATTCATTATAAATTAATTATAGTAAAAAAAATATTAAACTTTTGTAATTTTGTCTGAAATTATTAAATACAATAAAATCAAATAATTAAAAATCTAAGATGAAAAAACCGTGCATTGCACGGGCTTCCATCTAGTAATTATTAAAGTAATGTGTTTAAAAAAAAAAAATCAAAACGTTGCGTCTATTGTAAAGCAAAGGTATTAAATAATTGTGTATATAAATCTAATTTACCTAAATGTTTGTGTGTTTTTGAGGACCCAAATCATCTAGCTAGTAAGATTGATTTTAATTTGATTGTGAAGCATTTCAAGCATTTAATTTCACATTCTATTCACCCTTTTCCTTTCATTGGGATTGTTAGAGAATTATTCATTTGAAGGGGAATGAAGTAGATCTAAATATTTGGAGAGATTTAGAACCCTACCTTCTATCAATTATCCCATAAAATTAATTGAAAAGATCAATTTATAAACTACATGCTTGATTGTGTGTCAATTGTTAGCTTCAATCCCTAAAATTGTCAATTGTTAACGATGCATAAAATTACATGATAGATCTATGTAATTCACGAGATTTCTAGATAATTGAATGTTTGATGTAGCTTAGGTTATCTATGTGCACAACTTTGCGTATTTATTAATTCCCTTTAATAAATAGCGAGATTATATTATGTTATTAACCGTCGTATTTCAGCTATTAAGATAGGTTGATCTTTTCTCTCACCGGAAATTTTTGGTAGATTATTAATTACATTATATTGTTTAGTTTCGTTAACTTTTCCTTATATATATTGCATGATTTATGATTTGTGGCCGTGTGTTATACATGTTTACCTCATTCTAGAATAGATATTTTTGGTTAGAGTAATAGTAACTCAAACAATAAAATTTTAACATTTTAAGCTTGAACTTGATGAGTTATACCATGTATCTTTCACTTTAATAGACTTCTCCATGTAAAATTTAATAAACTCTAGTAATTTTTTAGAGCTGCATCCAAATTCGCGGTATGTTTGCTAGTTCTATGATCATTGTTGTAGTACTACACACACTCTCAACTACGTCCACCATGTCCTCTTTCAATCTGCTGTCACTAATATCATATGTACACGAGAATATCAATGGTGATATATATATTTATATAGACTGATTTAATTCTGTTAATATGTTTAGATCATACTTACTTATTTTTATTTTAATTTCGCCTTTATTTTCCTTACAGATAAACATTAACTTGAAGATCAAAAACATAACACCATTCAAAGTGAAGAAATCTGACAAAATCAAGAAGCTGAAACAGATTTGCAGCAAGGAAGGTGTTGCTGAGAACCTCCTTGATTCCTGCAATCGAGATGAATCTCTGAATGAGGAACAGACAGTCGACGACTACAACATTAGGAAATTGCTCATCAAAATCCCTTCCAACCCTCAGCTGAACATGATGGTTGTTGCGACTGTCAATGACACCGTGTATTCTGTCAAAATCATGATAGCGAATAAGCTGGGGTGCAACCCAAACAACTACGATCTCATGTACAAGGGCAGGCTCCTTCCTCCTCGTGTAACCCTTGCTAGTCTCAACATGGTTACTCATTCGATCCTGTACTTGATCAAGATACCTCAAGATCTCGTGTGGATATCAATTTACACCCCTAATTGTGGGATGGTTAGCTTTCAGATCAAGAAGCTTCAGACTGTTGGGTATGCCAGGGCTGTGGTTGGGAGTATGATAAACTCGAGGGTTGATGAAGCTGGACTTTTGTTGGCTGGAAAGGCTCTCGAGGATTCGAGGACATTGGCTTCATACTGCATTGATGATCATACTGTTCTGCAGCTGATCTATCCTTTTCAGGTGTCTCTGAAGCTGTACAAGGCTAGGACTATCTGAATGTCCTGGCTTCAGATGACGTGCGTGTTATCCATAGAAGGATGTTTGATGAGCACGGAATTGTTCCTCCTTGCTACCACCCCATCAACTTCCAAGGGAGAAGGCTCGTTGTTGGTTACAGCCTTGCAAGCTATGGTGTCAAGAAGGACTCCTTGCTCAAAATGGGGCGTCCTCTCAAGCGCATAGTAGTACAAGAACTTGCTTAGCTTGATGAGGGTTTTATCGTCGTCTTTGTTTAAGTTTTCTGGTGTCATTGTTGCATGTCGTCGTTGTTGTCTTTGTTGTTGTTGTTGTTAGCAGTTCTTATTGCTGCTGTTCGTTGTTGTTTTTTTTTTCTTCTTGTTGTGTCGTCGCCGTCTGTTTTAGAGAAACACTCGGCAGATTTTACATGTAATATGCCAGAATCTCTCTGTTATTCTGGTAACTGCAGTAAGCTGTCTACTGCTGTCTGTTTGTTGTGTCAGTCCATGTTATAAGTTTTTATGTTGAATCAAACTCATCAAGCTTTTTATGATTTAAGAAATTTTGTGTTAAGGTATGATGGATATTGTTGTCTCATGTTGGTAATTTAAATGTTTGATTATATCATCTAGTTTTGTATTGATAGTTAAGTAATTATGGTAAATGATATGGGTTGTCTGGATCAGGTCATTCTGCTTTGGGAACGAGTTAGATCAGGTTTATTTAGATCAATTTTAACTGCACAATTTTTCAGAAAATATTTGGTCTAGTAGTTCATATTTGACTACCTACTACCCTGAATTGGATAAGTCTTGGCGGATTTACCTAATTTATTAATTTCACAAACTACGAACTAGGTATGGTATTACAAATACATACCAGTTTAACATATTTGGTAATGATTTGCGTTACCATATCCAATAGGGTATTATTAAAAGCGCACTGCGAATTAGGTAACACTATTGCTAACAGAAAAGTCAGGTTTTACATGTTATAAGCGAAGAATAGGACTTGGCTAAGAAGATTTTTGTTCTATTTACTTCCAATCAAAGAATACAACTATCAATCTGTTGCAACTTGCAAGGAATAGAAGAGATTCTAAACCAAAGTTTGCCAAAAAAGGGGAGGTAAAAAGATAAAATGTGTACAGAAAAATATACATTACACACGATGATGAGACTATTTTTATATTGCATGAATTCCTCTAGAAATATCATCCAATGCTTTCTGATCTTCTTGCTCTGATGCTTTTATAAGTGAACCTTGGCATGTATCTTTGCCTTTCGATCGACGTGGTGGTGTATGATCTGCACTGACTCCTGCAGTATTTCTGCTGCTGTTTCCTCCTCCTACACCAGGATCCGAGAAGTGTGAAAACTCGACGACTGGTGGGGCTGTGGACTTGGACTTGGTTGATGATCGAGATGAGCTGGTCTTGGTCTTTTTCCGGCGTGAGGAGGTTTTTTGGCTCACTGAGGTTGACTCACCTTCTGCTGTTCGGAGGCTCTGCTGCTGTTGTTGCTGCGGCTGCTGCTTTGTTAATGACCTTCTAGGGGATTCGACAGCAGAGGGAGTCGAGTTAGCACGCCTCGATCCCCTAGGCTTGTCGGACTTCTTTCGAGAGGGAGACTCAATGGGTGAGTCCGAACTTGTAGAGAACCGTTTTTCTTGGACCAGACCCCGTGTTCTAGGTCCATTTTGTTGATCAACTAGACAAAAACGAAACATAACATGTATCACATCCAATGTAATTATTATTTCCAGACGAAGAGGGTATTATACTTAAAATTGTGTATTGGTCATTTAATTTCTTACCATTCAAAGCTCCTCCTCCACCTCCTCCTCCTTCTCCGTCTTTGAATTGATTAATCTATGGAATACACAAAATATTCAAATTCGATCATAACTAATCTGATCATACTTTAACTGATACATATGAAATAAATTGTTACAATACCCAGCTCGGCGAATTCGCAGTTGGACCATCCCAACCAATATGAGCAACATGCTTTACATCAGTAGGAAACCCAATTTGCATTTCTGTCTCTTGTTCCTCATCTACATTATTACCAATAAATTTGCAAATATTAAGAATTATATTCCACATTAAACCAAAAAAAAAGTTTTATTTTTCTTTCAATAAAAAAAACTTACCAAATATTGTTGAAATGTATCTAAGACCTTTGAGAAGTCCCTTCATCTTCATTGACATCGTCGTTGGATGACACACGATAGAAAATTTCGACACAACGAACGTTCGTTAGCAAATTTCGATACAAGCTAACTGTTCATGTAATAATCTAATCTGCAAAAGGGTAGGAGAAATTCATGTTCATGTTTTTACATGTACATTTTTTGTTTCCCTTGATAAATAAATTAACATCTTATTCCTTCCAACTAACAAGATCTTGTAATAAAAGATAGTTTATCAAATACCGTTCTCAAAAATCTCCAATAATATGTATTGTCAAATATAATTTATTAATTGATTGATTCCTTTTTCTTGGAGTGGAAACCACGAAGACCTTCAACATATTAGTTTAAGCATAATTAAAAATTAGTCTTTTTTCATTAAAACATGGAATGATTTGAACTTTTCCATTAGCGTTTTTTCCTCCTTGTTTTTGTGAGTTGACCTTTTAATTTTTTCAACATTTATGAATTTATTACAAACATGTTTCCATGTTTAATTTCTTGAGCACTTAAAACAAACAAGCATATATCAATGTTTTCATACACTATTGATGCAAAAACAACATGCATTTTTATTTTTCAGATGTTTGTGATTTTTTTACGTCGTATTAATGTATGATAGCCTTGTCGGAACTTGATATTGATATTATAGCGTAACATTTATTCAAATTAAGCATGTAAAATTAAGCAAAATATATATTTCATCAAAAAATTAAGAAGTGCGAATGGAAAAATGGCATTCTCACCTTATAATAGAAACAAATTTGCGGTATAATTCATCAAATTAGTCGTATAAAGAATTATCCTGAATCCATTAATACATTATAGATTGAAGAAATAGAAGATCTTCACAAATATTTGGCTAGGAATAAACACTAGGAAGAAATTGGCTCACAATGTAACGAATTTTGCTGAGGTTTTTTCATATAGTTATTTTTTTTGTATAAATTAAAGGAGGAAGAAAAAAAAAAAAAATCAGAAAGGAATAATTTTGTTTAATCTATTTATGTAAGATGAATGAGAGATTTTTGCCATATGATTTAGGAGCCAAACGTGTTTAGTTGGTTTGGTCCAATTTGGCAATTGCCAGCTAAATTTCAATAATACAACCTGTTATATTTACCCCCCCCCCCCCCCCTTTTTTTTTCTCCTTATTACTTTTTCTAAATAAAGTGATAAAAATTGTGTTTTAATTTTTTTTTTTTAAAAAAAACTCATAAATTCTTATATTTCATCAAACTAATAATAATCTAGAAAAGATACAATCATAGTGTATGAAAATAATTATACACACCTTGCATCCGGGTGTATATAACAATCTTTCAACAGAGTAATACAGTAAACAATAATTATGCGAATGTATACTTGAAAATTAAATACTTGTAAAATTTCTATAATTGACATGAGAATTATTTAATGATAGACATAAGATAACTAGGTTAAAACTCGTAATATAATTACACAACATTTTCATAGCTTTTCCTCAAAATAGATAAATAAATAAAATCATAGCTTTTATATCTTTATGTACCCTTAAAAAAATTCCCGTATATTGTAGGTGGACAGATTTATATATATACTTCGTATATTGTAGAATGTAAGAGTGGAATATTTAGATATTTGAAGCAATATTTTTCCACTTTAATTGGAAATTTATTACAAAAAAACTACGAGTAATATATTAAATAAATTAAAAATAAAATGGAAAACTAAGGGTCTTGTTTGGCATCGTATTTTGTTTTCGGTTTTTTTTTATTTTTTATTTTTTTATTTTTTTATTTAAAAAAAAAAAGAAAAACTAAACATCAAAAATAGAAAACACGAAAAAAGATGTTTTCACTTTTCTGTTGTCAGTTTTCAAAATTATATTTTAATAAGTTTGACTATTATTTGATTCATTATATATCATATATTATATGATTTTGAAAAACAAAAAAACCAAAAAATGAAAACCACAACGATACCAAACAAATCCTAAGCTTTGGTAAGAAATTATAAATTATTAATTAATGTAATATTGACTTAGGTTTAGTAAATTTTTTTATTTTTATTTTGGGTTTAGTGATTTGTGTTTGAATATGTAATCCAATAACTTATACAAAATGAGCATGTTTATACTAAGTTAAAATCACCTCAAATTGTATAGCCCTATAAATCAAAAATCATTGTAGTAGCATACGACTAACAGTGAGTTGACAATATTCGACACAGAGACAGGTAGGGTGGTCTAATTGAGTAGGAAATTAGGAATAATAAGCATATTTAATCCTATAATCAAATAGAATCCAACATGACATCATAACATATACTTTACTATATACTATAATTCAGCATAATTAGTAACTTCAATTATTAAGAACCATCATGATGGATTTCCTAATTACTATACTACAATAAATGATGGATCTCCTGAGTACATACATTTGTTTTTTAATAAATGATAAAAAAAAATACAAGTCATTTACAGCTTTAACGGTATAGTTTTATATTTTCCTGATATGAAGTCAGAAATATAGATAAAGGATCAATCTTCAAAATTGTATAGGGTTCACTATCCCATGAGGCCAACCCTTTAGTCCGGCAGGGGTATATCTTGCCGTCCAAAGCCCTTCTCTTCCGATCCCATGATCTTCAAATTTTCGGGATGATGTCATTACCAGTTTTCCAATAAGCCATCTCCTACAGCTCAGCCTGCAGAAATTAGTAGTCATTGTTACGTCATCAGTTTTCTACAGTCAACTTCAACCTGCAAAGTGCAGCCTTGGCAGTATTGTCAGTTTGCCCAAGAAATGAAGCCCGTCTACTATACTTCTTCAGTTTGCCCAATGCAGATTCTGAAACTAATCATCACCACCTGCATCACCAAAACCTTCATCGACATCCATTGCTTGTACAGAGTTGTCCACATCACCATATATAGGTGCATACATTTCTTCATCGAAATCATCAGGCTCAACCTCCACTTTCATGGATTTCATGTGTTCGTCACTAAAGAATGATGCATAAGGCTTGGTTACCTGCCATGATAATATTGATAAGAATGAGAAATGATAGCTGGACCCTCATTATATATTGCGAAAACGTATGATCTTGCACACAACAGAAACAAGGATCTTCACACATGAAAGACAAATTTTATCCTACCAAGAAACCCAGCTCTTAATCTTCAATTTTCTATATTTTCACCTTTCAATGACAAGATGTGCAGGATATTAGCATAATGAGTTCTACTACATTCTCTTATTAATTATAGTCAATTGAAGAAGTAGAATGGAGATGCTGTTTCCTTCACGTCTTCCAGCAATATCTATCTTAGTCTTTGTTTAGCATCAAAACTTGATGTACAATTTTGGATTTTTAAGTATTTGGTTGTAGGTAGATTAGGTTAAGAAACAGTAGGCAACATTCACCCTCGCTAGTCGTACAAGGGAAAGTAAGGGAATGAGTTTGACTTGTTTGTCAATATTAAAAGTGATCTCAACATTCAGCTTGATTAGCTTGTTTAGATACCACATAAATCAATACTTAAGTAGCTCATTGAATTTAAAAAGACACCCATATCCCAGAACTTGTTTAACCCTACTCAGCATGTCAACCTCCAACACATACATTTTCAATAATTTACAGAAACCCTGAAGCTATTGAAGACAAAAAACATATACTCCATATTTAAGTCTCACATGTATTTCCTACACCCTGTTTAGTCCATTACACGGACAATTGAAGGATGCTAGACTAAAATACTACAATGTCCCACATAAATTAGTCGAAACAGCTTCATCATCAATAAGTATTAGTATTACTTCAAATTATCAGAAACATGCCCCACATCAAGCAGATTGTAAGCTCAACACCAATGACCAGACAAGTGGCATTTATTCTTACAGGTGCATGATATTCGTGGAATGCAGAATAAACCATGATTACCTCAAAAAGAGAATTATTCTTCACAGCAGCTTCTACGAGGTTGCTCCAGTGCTTGTCCCTCTTCAATGTTGATGCAGAGCCCACAACCTAGAGAGTACGAAGTTCAGGTGAAAGAATCATCACGAAAATTATGTAAAAAATGATTTGTTGATCAGCCTTACCAGGATGGATGAACGAGCTCTGGTGATGCCGACATTCATACGCCTAAAATCAGAAACAAATCCAATACCCCCCTCTTTGCTTGCCCTAACACATGAGAATATTGCAACATCCTTTTCCCGTCCCTGCAATGAGTTCCAGCAATTTACATAGTTTGATTCTCAATACTATTTTCAGTCAGATAGTATGACTATACATCGCATAGTTGATTATTTGGTCACTCTTGCTTTTCATTTCAGGCATCCACGACATCAAAGTTGGCAAAGACATTAAACAATAAAAATTGCACATTTTAAAACCAAGAACAAAACTACTAAGATCACATACCTGAAAACCATCAACAGTATTTATGTCTACTATTTTTTCTGAATCAATCCCAAATATTTCCCAGAAACGCTGACGGAAGAGCTTAACCTGAAGTCTATAAGGAGAAATAATAGCAAGTTTGGAGCTTGACTTGAGCTCTGGATATTTGGAAACCAATTTCTGATATAAGAGGAGTGCAAACTCAACCTCATCTACATTTACCCAAGATCCACTTCCTTCAGGTTGCGAATCTGCCCCATCCTTTACGTCAAAGAAGCAAAAGGGGCGAAAACAGCGATAATCATGCCACACACGCTTTGTTTGTTCTTCAATATCAGCACCATCTTCCAGTGCATTATCATAAAATTCTTGAGAAGGAAAATTTCGTATCTATTAAAACAACACGCTTGTATCATTGACATGAAGATGATGATAGTAAACACATACATAAATAAAAGATCAAGGAAGAGTTCCCTTAACTTTCAATTCTAAAGCAGAATGGTAAAGGGAATATGGGATCAAAGTTTAGAATTATAATAGTTTGCGTAATACTGGAGAACCAGATATCTTCTCAAGCTTATGAAATCTGTAAGAGTCTAAACCCAATTCAAATCTAGCTCAAGTACCACATATGACTACTTTAAAGACCTGTATGTGCAGAGAATCGAAATAAGAGTGATAACACCACAAAGTTCAAACAGTGTACCTCAGGATGCATACGATATTGCGTCTTGAGCATCAATACTGGATATCCAGCTTTCTGGAATCTTTTGAACAAGCTCATGCCGTATCTATAGGGATACATGAGTTAGTAAGAAGCAATTAAAGAAGTAATTTATGATGTAGGTTCTAACATGACAAAAGACAGATGTATAAGATTAAGATTCTTACCCCAGATTTTGAGCCACAGTAGAAATCACAGTAGCTGGCAATTGAACAGGATCACCAACCTGATAAGACAATGAAATGATAGCTTGTAAACCTGCAGCCGCAGAAGCCCAATTCCAGGACATTTGCACATATGTTTAACTCCTATAACATCAGGTTTTATAGCTCTCACTCCTTATCATACAATATACATGTTATATAGGCATTACCACATGGATTACTGAGAAAAAGCATTTCTGATTTTTTAATTGTAGATGCCATTTTAAGTTTTAGATACTCACAAATGCTCACTTGCAGTACTTATTATACGACTTTTACATGTCAAACCTTCATATTTCTGTCAAGTCAACAAAAGCTTCATTTGGGACAAAGAGGTACAATTTCATAGACTTTGATTGAGAATGTGACACAGAACTATAGCTTAAATGTGAAGCAGAGGAAAAAAATCCTCATTATAAAACATAAATTTTTATCTTCCAACCCATGTAAGCATGTAATGTACACGTTTGATCACTATTAGAAAAAAGGGGGAGTAGATGTTACCAGAAACACTTGCTTGCATCCAGTTGACAAAGGCACGAGAGTTGCTGGTTCCACCTATTATCCAAAAAAAAAAACAAATTTGAAGGCCAAGATCAGACAAATAAAACAATCTGATGATGGAAATCTCAGTTAAAGAAGCCAGCACATACAAACACTGGGGGAGTCCACAAGTGCAAACAAATTCTTTTTTTTTTTTTTTTTTTTTTTTTTGGGGGGGGGGGGGGGGGGTGGTGTTGCGGATCATGAGTCCCTTGACATAAATGGTTGACAAACTAACTAGAAGAACAGAAGAAGCAATTCAAAAAGCCAATATTAATATTCAGCCACACAGCATTATCATTCAGGTTTTTTCAGCTATAGAAAATTTGCATGCTTGTAATTTGAAAGCATCCACAGTGAAAAGTAAGGATATAACTTTGTTTAGATTGAAAGAAATGGAGGGAAAGGAAGGGAAGGGAAATGGAGGGATGGAGTATCTTTCATTTGGATAACAAATAAGGAAGGAAGGGAATTGCAGGGGAGAGAATGATGGGATAAAATTCTAAGAAATTAATCTCTCCAATAATGGAGACATTAGGAAGGAAAACTCATCATTCTTCCCTCCCTTCCCTTTCCAGATTTCCTCCCCTTCCCCTCACTCCCCTTCTTTTCCTTCCTCTTATGAGAAATTTGCCTTGATTAAAATATAAACTACAGCTTACTTACTAGCATGAGAAATACAAACAGTTATCCTTAAACAAACAGATGGCAGAATACTTTACCGCTTGAGCAGCTTCGTCTATAATAACAATGTCAAAACCACGGTTCAGTTTAGAAAAAATTGTCGAACCACTGAAGCTGAGAGTAGAGAATACCTACATCCAGAAAGGTATTAGTGAAAAGAGCACCATAAAACTTTCCAGTTTAGGGGAAGAGTTGCATACAATCACAGCTTCATCCAGAATTGATGCACGGATGCTATCCCTATCACTCCCTGGAGCTCCTTGCTTCTGCCTATCCAGATGGCCCTCCAGACCAGCTAGCTTTTGCTCTACCTTGAAAAACAAATCAGTTGTATAAGTACTAGAGAAGCCGAAATAGTACAACTACAGGCAAATTAGCAGGTTAACAACAATAACACCATTGATAATGCTCAACAACCTCACTGCCATTATTATCTACATTGAAAGATGCTATAGATCCTCCATATGCCGTTATAATCATATAACCCCCCCCCCCCTCCTTCTACATGTCCACACAAGGCATTACTACTGAGATTTAACAACCCAAGCTACAAAGATTCTATTACAGTTAGCACAAGAAAGATTTAACAACCCAAGACACAAAAATTGTACTTTAGTTAACACATTCAAAATTTGATTTAATTCCGCCACTGGGTTTCCCGCTGCCAGTCCCAAGCCTGGATAAAGGAGGAGGGTTTCGGTAGGCCAGTGACAGCCAGTGTAAAACTTTGTCACATCCCATGACATGAGCCAAACTGATATGTTTTATGAGTCATGGGATAAGAGTTCTTTCACAAAAATAGAATGGCTTCACATCAGATGCCAAATAATCAATTCCATACATTACAGGCCATCTCACACTCTAAAGATCATAGCCAATGGATCACTTAATTTGGCCATTGCACTTGCAAGCTACCATGGGTTTTTAAAATGGTCCTCCAATAAGCCACAACCTTGAAAAGAAGTTTTAGTGATGAGAATGTGGAAGGAGCCAAGGATCAAATGAGGATGGATGTGTACCAAAACATACAAAGTCAGAGTATCATTCCCACCCTAAGGCCACAAGAAAAGGCTAAATAGTTTTTATTTGGGAAAAAAAAAAAAAGACAGTGCAAGGTACATCAGATATTCATACCAAATAATCCATTGAAACTGCCTGTACTGAATGATGAGCCTTAAGACCTATGCGCACAATCTTAGGATTATAAGCACGGTCATTTTCATCACGAACACCTGCAGATAACCGGAATAATATATCATCATATAAGTTAGTTCATCACAAGATACATTCTGAGGCTGCCATATCTGACTGTCAGATTACATCAACCAATGACTTAAAAAGTACAGCGGAAACATAAGAAAGAAACAAAGGAGTAGAGGTTGGAGCACATCCAATAAATTCAATTGCTGAAAACCAGTTACTATTTACAGAAGCATGTAGAAACAGCTATATACTCAATGAAGCACGTACTTGAGAGCGTCACTTTATTAATAAAAAATTTCTCATTGTTTTGAAACTCCTCATCTAGAGGAACCAAAATAGATCTTCTCAATGTCTTACATTGTTTGTCTCTTCTTATAATGTACTCCCCACATCTCATATTAGTTGTCAAATCTTTATTTTCTAGACGTCTCAAATTAGCTGTCTAGTTTCCAAATAATAAACTAAAACATTTACTACGCGATAAATGGCTATTGAAAATAAAAGAGTATTACTGATAGTTGGAAACATCACAACAAATAAAGACTTGTCAGAAATCAATGGTAGGGAATGATGCTCCCTTTATTATTTTTTTCTATTACATAATTATGACACCTTATATGGGACAAGGTAGAAAAGATAAGACAAAAATGTATACCTGTATTTAGAACTCTCAACACAATCTCATCAAGTGCAGAATTTGATGGGGCACAAACCAGCACACGAACACGATATTTGCGACTAGAATTTACAACTTCTGGTTTCTGCACCACATAGACTGTTCAGAAGACAATATACAGAATACTCATCATAGTAGGAAAATAAGTAAATACCAATTCGTTTCCAGTGGTTGGAAAAAACCCATCGTCACCATCAACTGGCATGACCTCATCTCTTGGATTGACCTTGGATATCCAGGGAGATGCTAGTCTCCAGTGATTGCACCTGTATCACATAAACATGTTGAGGTTAGTATCATTACAGATTTGTGTAACAATATTCAAATCTATATGCAACAACAGTCAACAGATTCTGCTACTTCCCTACAACAATAACTTGATACCTATGTCTGAAAAGAGTCTCTCTTCCTGGGCAAGCGAGAGGAGGGTCAGATGTACATAGCCTGACCCTTGAAATGACAAGGCAGTTGTTTTTTTTAACTGACCCTTATTCTAATACATAATGAGCACTAATTACTTCACAAATACTAAAAATCATAGGCAATCTGATGAGCTATTATACTTTATTATTCTGTTAAAAAAACCTCAGAACTACAACTATTAAACTCCATTAACACTAGATAGAGATTCTGCATCTTTCCTAGCTGGAATTTAATTTGAATTTTGAAGTGTGATGTTGCCTTAAATAATAATCAGCTTGCTTGGATGCATATATACTTAACCAGTACTAAGACAAATGATCCACCAATGACACATGAACAAGAATGCCTTGACCTCGATAGATGAAGCTATGGTACATGTGAAACAAGAAACAATACTTCCAACCAAAAAAATGCACCAGCAGAAACTCCTTGAAAGGAAGAAGACCAGGACAAAATTTTGAAAGAATGAGTACCAAGAAGATAAAGCACAAGCAAACTGCAAAAAAAAATTAGGAAAATAGAGCATACACCACAGTTTATTTGTTAAATTATATTTTAATAAGTATGTTCCAAAATCCAAAAAGCACAGCAAGATATTATAAAATCAAAGGCCAAAAAGAAGAAGTATCTAAGACGCCAATTGAGCAACAGGCAAAACATACTTCTCCTCCATAGGCAATTCCGGCCCTCGCTTCATGTCACGCAGTTTATCCCTGGAAGAGTAAAGAAATTAAAACCCAGATCAGTGAAATTAAGCCTCCACAATGAAACAGCATAGGCAGTCTGCTACATGATCGCCCATGAGAAAAAAGTGAGGATAGTTGTAACTCACTTAGCATTCATTCTTGCTGGAACAGAATGCAGAATAGCATTAAGAAGCCCAAGAATAGTTTGTGTCTTTCCAGTCCCTGGAGGACCCTAAAATGAACAAAAAATCAGGTTCCAAGAACCTCATAGATCATAATCAGCATATACAGAAATATTATAAAAAAGTATAGCAAATAAGGATGATCCTGCTTAAAAAGTTATTGACTCGCCCACCTTCCCTCCCCCATCCCAAAATAAGGAAGTAAATCAGAAAAGTTCAAAGTAAACATGAAACAAGAACCAGAATCATCAAACCAAAGAAGACCCTACTTTGGCAGAACAAAATAGAGGAATCAAATAAGTGGTCGTTCCAGATCATACAGCAATCTGAGATTTGATTAATCAGTGCCAGTATTGTGGAAGCTCTCATTCGATTATTTACAAACATCATCAAACCATGTAAACATAACAATAAACAAGAAGCTAGAAAAGAGAGACTTGACTACTTGGTAAAGAAGCATATTGGCTAATGTCTTCTATAGTAAGAATTTGGATCTAAGAAAAATTCCACTGCAGCAAAAACATCATATTAGCAACTTCAAAATTCATATTGACTGCTAGGAAATTCTCCTGAGCCATGGATTTGAAAAGAAAAAAAAAATTGTTCCCCGAGAATAACTTTTGAACAAGAGGCAATCTCCCTCTTTTTCCAAGAACTTCATAAATACGCAAGTTTTCAAGCTTAAAAGGTTAAAATAATTAACTCTACAATGAAATAGTCTATCAGGTATTAATACAGCATTATAGTACAGGTCATGTTGATATCTTGTAAAATTTTCAGTGCCCAGCAACACAGAAGCCATCACCCGGGTAATCGTCCACTATCAAGACTCAAGAGTGCCTCATGCTGGAAATAAACACATTAAAACATAACACCAATTAAAAAATTAAAGCCAGGCAAAACCATTCATCTCTTTATACACCAGACAGTCAAATCAAAGCAAGCCTATACACACTAGCCCAATCCATTCTTATGCCATACAGTTAGTTTCAGAATCAATTAACACATAAATGTGGCCCTAAACACGTTGACATAAGTGACTAAATTGCTGCTGCTTGAGTTTCAAAGTCAGAAAATACCTGTATCAAGACAAAAGGTTTCCGTGATAGCCCTGCCTGAATAAATCAGTCACGTCAGGTTACTGTAAAAATAGGATATTGACTTTCTAACTAAGAGTAACTGGATTAGAGAGATATGTAGACTAATTAGAAAGCAAAAAAGAACTAGAAGAAAATGAGAAATCCAAGAGTTTCAAAAATACTCACACGTATAGCTTCCAGTTGAGACACATTGTGATTACTTTCAATAGATTCCATCAATTTCCCAGGGATCTCCCAAGCAAGACCAGTTGAATTGGCGCTGCTGTCAGCAGCCTTCAAAATTACATCCCTAAAGGGAAGAGAGCTAATAGACCGCATGGCAACAAATTCGCGAAAAATGGTAGATAAACTGCAGACCTGTCGTAAGAATTAGTTACTCGAATAAAAGGGAACCTGACTATATTGAAAATTTGACAAATGAAAATCATATGATAAGATCACCAAGTAAAATATAGTACAGAATTTTTAGCATTTTTTAGACTTAATACATTACGAGTAGAAACAACACCAGCCATATTCTCTCTCTCTCTCTCTCTCTCTCAATACTTGTGCCTCCACCACCACCAACCCCCCCCTCTTAAAAAAAAAATGTTGCAAGTATAAAGAATGGAAGAAGCATTTCTATGGGGAATGTAGACCCTATAAATGAGCTGCCACCTGACATAACCACACCTTTTAGGCCATTGAATGACAAATCAGAAAACTGCTCTCTCAAATGAGCTTCAATATGCAAATATAGTAAATTGTGTAGGAACCTACATAAAGATGTACTCTCCGTCCCTAAATAAACGTGCCATCTCTCTTGGACAGACACGTTTAAGAGAGGAATAGTAATGGGGTATTGTTGTTTAGAGTTGAAATGAATAAATAAAGAAAAAAAGGTAATGGAAATAGTTTATTATTTTTAAGGGAAGTGAAAGAAAATGTAGTGTGGGGGTTAAAGGGGTTTTGTTAATAAGAGTGAATAAAAACCTGAAATTGTTAAACGTTTTTCTTTAGGGGCTCCACCTAAATGAGAAATGGAGTTTTTATCCACGGAGAAATTTTAGGAGGGATGGGGCTTTTATTTAGGGACAAATTTTGGGAGAGATAAACACCAAGCATGAAACTTCCGAATACTATAAACTGAAATTGTTAAATGCTTTTCATCTTCTTAAAGCGCCAACTTCCATCCTTCAAAGTGTTCATTTAACTTGAAAATTTGTCAAAATACTCCACATACAAATGTTATAGAATAGCTTATACCATCCTCCCCATTTCACCACCTCAGCAACATAACCCATACACAGCAAAAAATTAAAGGAAATCAGTCAACCCATGGAGAACTTGAGATAGTTTAAACCAAATAAAGCAAGTTAAAGGGATGCAAACTTGACAGCTAAAAAAACCAAAAATATAGAATGTCTCCTCAGCTGATAAATGTGTGGTCGCATTGCAAGTTATTTAACTCATTTATCAGCACTTGATTTATAGGCATATTCCCATAAATATTTAAACAATGTCATTTTCTAAACATACATATTACATGTCCCCCCACACCCACCTCCAAACTTAAGTCAAGCATTAATAATCCTTCTTCAGTTTATAATGCTAAATTGAAAATCAGGAGGCAGGAGCTATTCAGATGTAAGAAAGTAGTCTCCATGGATTGAAGAATCACTCATAAGCATCCAGGTTCAATTTACAGACACTGTACATAGCAAAGAGACTAAGTGACTCAATTTTTTTCTTTTTCCTCTTTGATCTACATACAATGTCCTTGATAGGAGAATTTCTCGTAAGCTAGCTCTGCTAATTTTTCACTTAAAGTAAGTTTCTGAACCAAATATAGGTACCTCAGTTACAATAGACCATTCAAAAGCCAAGAAAGATGGAGAACATGATGAACTATGCTGCCATCTCCCAAATATATGTTTCTTTTGCTTCTATGGGACCATTTGGTACCCATAACTTGCATTCATTTCTTTTCCATGAACAGATGAACACATTTTATATGAGACACTGATTAAATAGCAAAAATGCAGAAAATGTAAAAATAGAACAGATTTCAGGAAGTAATTACTCCCTCCGTTTCATAATGTTAGTCCCATATAGAATCAATTACATAAAATAAGAAAAGAAGAATATTTGGAATCTAACATTAAAGTACAAGATAATTCATAATTAGTTTACCTTATTTAATTTTTTGATTTTATTTTTTGGAAAGCATAAGTCATAATTGCATAATTTAAGGTAGATATTTCCTTACTTAGAGTCATGTCATCAATCCACAACCAATTAATTCCAAAAAAATTAAGTTAAAAATGGAATATATTCAATATGGGTAGATCTTTTTGAAACGCCCAAAATAGTATATGGGACTAGCATTATGAAACGGAGGGAGTATGTATTACCTTCGACATGTGCAGAATAATTTGTTCAACTTTTATACATGAACGCATATTGGCAAGTCTCATGCTAGACACAGTACGGTTGGTATCAGTTCCCTTAACCTCTCCTTGTACAAACATTCTGAGTCTAAGAGAATCTATCTGACGATGCTCCACCAACGCAAATGCATATGTCTCAGGAAGCCTTTTACCAACAATCTGTAATGTTTAACCATGTTAAAATAGCAAGATGGGAGCGGGAGCAAACACACCATCTATTGATAAATAAGAGATCTTCCATGAAAGAACTAACTCATAATGCTACTCTTAAATCTTAATTCTTAGCTCCCAAACTAGTCTAAAACTAGAAAAAGCAGTTTAATCACCTTCTCTTTCGAAAGTAACAAAAGATCATTTTGGAAAAAGGAATCTTCCTCCTCCGTTGTGTAAAATACAACCGGGAAATAAAACCCGTCTAAATCACTGCATTCTTTAACCATACAAATCTTCTGCTCGAAAGTTGATGCCCCTGATTGTTAGACGAAACTTTAATATTTATACAAATAATAATCCGCATATTCAGAACAAAGGTCTCAAGATGAAGTGAAAGGAAACAAACTATACCTTCTTCATCTTTGGCTTTGACAATTTGGGCTTTGACTTCTTCAAAAAGAAGAGGCTCAAAAGTTGCAAGATAATCATCAACATCTTTAAATGTATCCTTCACCTCCTTTAAACCCTTTTTACTTTGTATGCTAGAGTTCTGCTTTTCAAATACCCAAATATAAAAAATCACAAAGATCATCAAAATGCAATAACAAGAACAAAATTTTTACAATAAATAAAAATAAAAAATTGAAACATTAAAAATTCTAAAAATAATGCATTATATATCCCAAACTGTTCATCTCAAATAACCCAAATGGGGAAAACAATTCACTTATTGGCTAAGAATTTGTATCTAATTACAAAGCTCATCACAATAACAATAACAATAAAAACAATAAACTGCAATCATTATCACAAACTGTTCATCTCAACTATACCCAAATAGGAAAATAATTCACTAACTGGCTAAGAATTTGTTTTTAATTGTTCGTACCAATTACCCAAAAAGCAAAACCAACCAAAAATTGCATATAAATTGTTGAATAATTGATTAACAGGAAATTAAATTTAAGCATAAGAAATTAAAGAGATAATAGCATTAAAAAAAACAAAGTAAAAAATAAAATTGCCTGAGAATGTTGAGGAAGACGAAAGTAATCCCAGCTAAGAACAATCTTGTAGAAGCGAATCATGCAAGCTTCCTCCTCCACTTTGATCTTCTCTATTGCCATTTTTTCAGTGGAGAAAGAGAGCAGAGAGTTCTCTCGCTGTAAAAAATTGGGGCCAAGGGTTTAAGGGGTTTCTAATGTTAATTGGGAAAAAAGAAAATAGTACCTTTTTTTTTTAAGGTTTTTTATTTTTTTTTTATGGTAAAGAAAACACTGACCAAAAATAAAAATATGGAGTACATAGTAATGGGTTTTGCGTTTTAGGGCAAATAATTACCATGTATATTTTCGAACTTGTTTGAACATGGAATACGGGATTTCTTCAAAAAAAAAAAAAAAAAAAAAATACAAGCACTATATTATACGAAAGGAGGATACTAGGATAGGGAGAGTAGTATACTAGTATAGAGCATATTTTAATCGGAAAATAGTTTTCCATTCTTGGAAAACTAACTTTTACTCCCTATGCCCGTTAATGTTTGCCCTAATTTTTTTTTTTAATCCGTTTTTTTTTAAATTTGCTTTATACTACTGTATGTCTGTATGTTTGTTGGTAGGGGACTATACCTACACTACCATAACCATTTTTTATTTTTCAAAAATGTGAATCTTGTGATCATTTAATTTATTACAATAAATATTAATTAAGCCACTTTGTTAAAGAGTAAAATTATGAGTTTTTTTTAATTATTTAATCAAAGGCTAGCCCTAGTTAACAACCTTTGTTACTCAAATGGCACAAATTGTAAATAATTGTAAATTTGACAATATTTTATTATTTTTGTTGTTGACTCATCCTTTTCCTTCTCATCATCACAACCACCACAACCGCCACCATCTCTTCGCCGAACACATCACAACTGCACCATCTTCTTCGTCCTTTCGATCTCACAGCCGATCTCCACCATCTTTGTCCTTTCTCAAGCCGATCTCCACCATCGTCCTTTCTCACAGCCACCATCCTCTTCGTCCTTTCTCACAACCAATCTCCACCATCTTCGTCCTTTCTCAAGCCGATCTCCACCATCGTCCTTTCTCATAGCCACCATCTTCTTCGTCCTTTCTCCACCTTCCCCGATCTCCACCCACATCGGAACAAAACGAAAAACCCTGTGAATGAAGGGTGAAATTAAGGGTATGGTCAACCCCAAAGGTGATAATCAATATTTAGGTGGTCTACAATGGCCTCCCACAATGCGGTTTCCACAATTGCTTCTTCCGCAGCATGACAAATACGTTAAACCACATACTTCTCCCACCGGTGTGCAACTAATTGTAGAGGGTACAATTTCTTTTTTGAATTAAGCCTTTGTAATTATCAAGGAAATTGTATATATGAAGCATATTGCATAAATTATCCAATGTAATTTAGTTACAAATGTAAGTTTCATTATACTATATTTTTACTATAAGGTAGCTATCGATTCACTTGATTTTTACTTTACATGATCTAATTATCTGAACTTTTTTGATAATCTTTAACTGAGCTTTTATTTCCTAAACCATACGGAGTATTAAATTTTGAATTTATTTTTCCTAAAATGGTAAAATTACATTATTACACAAAAATCATAAAGCTAAGCACTCGAATTATTAAATTAATTATATTATGATGAGCTAATAGTCTCCTTTTTTAAAAGACTAATGTATCATAAAAAAAAAAAAAATAATGCCAAAGTTTTGCCATTTACTTTCTACACATCTTTGACCAGCACCACGACTATCTACTCCGATCATGATATAGACCACAACCTTTAGATTTACCGATCATGATTTGCGATGCACTATCCAAGTTTCAAATACATCATTAACATATTACGGAGTAGTATATTTAGTAAATGACAATTACAATGAGAATGAATCTATGTTGTAAATACGTAAGAAAAGGTATACATGCACTACAAATTTATTATTTCATTAGTTTTCTTTTTCAAATGTTTTAAATTGAAATTTAATTTTATTCATAAATCTTAATCTTCAACTATCTATTATAATTTAGGATGTTGAGGAAAAAAGAAAAAAAAAAAAACTATTATCATTTGGGGAGTGATAATGGGTGAGAATGAAAATTTATGTTAAAGTTATGGATTTGATGACATTACCATAATCATTATGAATTTTTGATGCTGTTATTATTCTTGCCAAATTACACTTATAATCATCATTATATTCCTAATACTATCATAATTACCCGAACAAATAGTTAATACTCAAATGAATTAAAGTTCGAGTAGGTCTAACTATCAAACATCTACAAAAATAAAATTGATCGACTAAATAATTATTAATAGACTAATATATATACAATAACGAATTGAAGTAGCTAATTACCTATAGCTAGGATGAAAAGTATGGCTATAACATTCTTCTTAGATTTGTAGAAAGCCGTTTTCCTCTCTATTTTGAGTGATAAAATTGGAAGACTAATTAAGTATATTGATTAATTTTAATCAAAGATAGTCTCTCTTATATACTTCGTATAAAACTTAAGGATTTTCCGTATTTATGTACAATTCTAACTGGCTTAACAACTGGATGGCATCGTTTAGAGCTAGACTGTATATCTGAATAAGGTTGGTTTTTTATTTTATTTTTTTTTTGTCATGAATTCTTTGGAATAAAATAAAATCCATTACGTAAATCTTTTTTTTTTCTATTTTAATTTTATTTTTTATTTTATTTTTAAAATAAGCTTAAACACAAAAAACTAAACGACATTATTAAAAGAAGATAAACTATAACTAGCCGTGGTTAGTTGCGAGGATGCGCGCCTTGTCTACACGATCCCTCTGAACCTTGTGGTTGCTACACCATGCAAATGGTGTACTAGCTCGGCAAATGTTATCAACCGTCCATCGAAGACTGATATATGTGATTGTATCGCCCCTAAGCATCTTAACCAAAGAAACAGAATCCGTGTAAATTGTGACAGCATGTAGGAAACGCATTGCTCCCCATCGTAGGCGCCTCAAGACATGCATTCATCTCCACATGGATGCCGATTGAGCCAAACCGTAAGCCGCTCCTCCCAACTCTCCTTGAATACCAAACTCTATAGCCTCCGAGCACCACCCTATTTCCGATCCATCACGTATATCCTTGCTGCTATATATTGTTAGTTATTACTACTTTCGTTTTAAATTATTTGCAACTTTTTTCTAAATATTTATATTACATAAATAATATCTCAAAGTTGTAAGTAAATAGTATGAAAATGAGGTAGTACATGCTATGATAATAAATCAGTTTTATGATCGCTTAGGATAAGATTTCATGTAACCTAGTTTAAGGAATGTTATATTAAGTGCACATTTGCACATTTTATAGGAAGACATCTGTTGGAACAAAGTTGTTTTAAAGTGTGAATTTTGTGAAAATGGTAAAGTCCCACATCGGTGGAAAATGAAAGCTTTGCTTAGTTTATATAGGTGGGTGTCACCTAAAGGGGTGTGGCCCTTGGGCTACCCACATTTTGTGGAGAGGAAGGACTTACCTACCAAACCAATCTAACACACGCACGCCGAACCGGGCCGGGCCGGGTTGGATTGGATTTCTTTAACGGGTTTAAATTTTTTGAACAAGAATTAATTCCTTGATTTTGTAACTGATTTACTAATTAAATTTTTAACTGTTACGTTTTCAATTTTGCCCCTTTTTGTAATGGTCCGTTTTGTAACGGTTAATTAAGTGATTTTAGCCCTTAACTACGTCCATTATTTGCTTTAATCAGTCCGTTAATTGCTTGCTGAAACCGTCCAGGTACATTCTGCCACCCTCTATAAATTGATGGTTTTTCCTTCACGGTTTTACACACAACAACAAACAGAACACCAATTTTCAGAATACCGTTTTACAGAAAAAAAAAACCACTTACAGTTTATATTTTCAGAAATCTTTTTCCAGAAATTATTCGAGCATTGTTCCTAATTTTGGTGTTTAGTTGTCCGGTGGTTCTGTGCAAATCCATTGGTATAATTTTCTTTTCCGAGAGACTGTTTTATCCTGGGGAGCATCCGGTTGTCGTACGAGCTGCTTGCACAAATTAAAGGCAGTGCCGTGAATGTTCTTAAGAGAGCGACATAGTCCGCGACTCAGTCTCATTCCGGTAACATTGTTCTGTTTTATTGTTTACAGCAGTTCGGTTTATAACAACATCAACTTCAGGACTATGGAGGCAATAGGTTTGAGGCCGGGGCTGCGTCTTGCCAATTAAGCTAATGGTCGCAGGATCTTCGTACCAGGCCTCGAAGCTATGAAGCCGTCATAATTGCCGTAAATGTGCGCTCTTCTGGCCATGCACACCACCTTCTCCAAACCCGAAGAAGACCACAAGGTTGTTTGGCTGCACCTGTCAACTCTTCAACCTTGTGTTTGCCCACCTTCCCCAGCTATAGCACCAATGCAGTATAACATTTTAATATAAAATCAGCACCATAATAGAATATTAGAATAAAATGTTATGGTCACAACTCACAACACCTAGAAAGATAGGGGACTTTATAGACCTTTGGTAGGCTTTTTATGGTTCCAACTCAACTAATATGACCGTAATGACACCGTATGCATTTTCATCAAATATTGATTTTTTTTTTATTTTTTTTTATTCTTTTTGAAATTGGCCTAAAGCGTGAATTATATAATCTTTAATTTTGGACAATTTTTTTTACTTTTTTGGACCCATAGAGGTCGGGGTGTTTCCTACGGACCCACGACACCCCGAGAGTCTATTTGGGTCATTGAAATTGTCCTCTTTGCCTTTAAACTGACAATTTAACTATTTACAACTTACGTCTTCTTTCATTAACTCAAGGCCACCATGGGACTTTACATGGTATCAGAGTCAAGCCCATGATATGGGACCCTAAATGACTTAGAGTTTACTGAGTCAACAGTAGGTCCATGTGAGGAGGAGTGAAGAAGTAGTCTAACCCGAAAAATCACATGAAACAAAGTTAAAAGGGACCTTACATGTGAGGGGGATTGTTGAAAAATAGACCTCCCAAGTATTCCCACATGTAAGTGTCCCACATTGGTTGAACAAAAGAGAGTTAATCACTTTATAAGGTTAAGGGGCTACTCTTCCTATAACCATATGGTTTTGGGATGGAACCTCCTTTAACTTGTGAAGTGGACTCTCTCTCTCTTGGTTTGCGGGTGCGGCCCAGACCATAGTTAACATAGTATCAAAGCGTGATTGCCATTATATACGTGAACAGACGAGCAACTTGCTGATATCTACACGAAAGCTCTGGGCAAGCGACAATTTTTGTACTTACTTGACAAGTTGGGCATTTGTGATATGCATGCTCCAACTTGAAGTTGAGTGTTAAGCGTAATTATTTAGCTAATGTCCCTAATGGGCCAATGTATACTTAGGCCCTTTAGTTTGTCACTACGTTGTATATAAACCGTGGCTAATGAGAATAAAGGCAAGGAAATAGAGTTTCTAACCGTTTTCTAATCCTTTTTAATAACAAAAATGACGTAGATGCTCTTACAGTCTTACTCCAGTTTTGATCAATACACCACAAATTCAACTCAACTTTTGCATTTGTAATTTTGGCAATCCAAATAGTCAAGAATGCTCCCCAAATAAATACATACTCCGATCCGTAAAATAGTACACTAATTAAATCTGAATAATATTTTACTCCCTCCGTTTCTTTTATAAAATAGAGTTGAGATTATCCACTATTTATATGTTATCATTGACTTAATTTTTTTAATTAATATATAATATATAAATTTGATCATACAATATGTTGTTGGATTTGTCATAATGTCTACTTTTATAAATTAGTTTTTTCATAATTTTTACTAACCTTTAATTAAAGATATTAATGGTTAAAATTGTGTCTCGACAAATGTGCAAATTAAACTCTAGCTTATATATATAAAAAAAAAAAAACAGAGTGAGTACATTAATTCAAATGTTTATACTCATATATTTCCAAATCACACATGAAAAAATTCAAGTGTTACAAAATTGATTTTGTAAATTAGTGTTACAATGATAAAGAAGTACTTTATATCTTTAGTACTTCGTATTTATTAGGTGGAACAACCATTAAAAATTTAAAATAGCTAATCTAACAAACTCAAATGAAATAAAGCTCCACATAAATGAATCTTGTGATAATCATGGTTTACAGTGACCTCCAAAAAAACTGTCTAAACATTTGCCTTTTCCCCAGTAGGGATTGACTGTGTCGCAGTATCCCCCCCACAGTCGTGCAATGTCGCGTGGGGTCTACAAACAAAGTTTTACGAATCATATTACATAAGGAGTAAAAGTGTCAAAATCTGACTCAACTCAAAACAATTTGATCTAAACTAAATTATCACAATTCAATTATATTATAAGAAAATAATGACATAGTTTGCCACTTACCTTGTACACATTTGTGACCAGCACCTTTGCTGCACCTATATCCCGAACAACAATCATCAAAACCTAAGAAAGATGAACATTTTTCTCTCATAATACCACAACTTTCAGATTTATCATCTTACGATCTATTTGGTATACGTATGGGGTAATAAATCAAGGTAATGAACATAAATTTGTGTTGTAAGTTTATAAGAGATTTAATTCAGACACTAAAGTCCATGGTACGTAATGCTAATTGACCTTAATTCATGATTAAAAAAAAAAAAAACCACATTCATTATGATGCTACTTTATTTCTTGTCAAATTACACTCAAATTCATTCTCAGTACCACCATCAGTTATCAACTACTGTATCAAATAGACCATTATTACTTAGATGATAAAGTTGATCAAAACACCAACAAAAACATAATGGACTAATTAATTGCATCATATGTAATTACAAAGAAATTACTTATATTACCTAGAGTCAGGATGAAAAGAATGGCTACTACATTCTTCTTGGAATTGTAGAAAACCATCACATTTTACATGGGACCAAATGACCGACTTAAAAGAAGAACTAGCAGATAAAATGTCACCTAAAATCGAATCCAAATCAGTGAAGTGAATACCTTCTTTGGTCAGCTTCCGGACTAATAGTTGGCAGTCGGACTCGAGGATTACATCCTCCATACTGTATCGCCTAGCAAGCTTGATAGCCCAATCTAACGCCTTCGCTTCAGCAATTTCTGGTGGCTAGTGAGCTCTGACTCTCCTTGTGGCAGCAAAAACCACTTTCCCCCATTAATGCATATGTTATTTAGCATTTTAATTAGTGGCTTCTTGGAATTTGCCACGAATTCGTTGGAAGAAAATAAAAGTCCTTGTATATCACTCGCAACAGATTTTTTAAAAAGCGCACCTAATAATTCACCAAAACTTAACACCAGCTACATCCGAATCAATCTCAAGTCGCATATCTAGCTTATGGTGGCCTGGGTTAGTATCACTTGCAAGTTGCAACTATAGTTAGTATACTATTTAGCTTTTATATTCATAGCTTTTTGAATTTATTTTAAATAACCATCCTAGTCTATCTCTTATGTTCATACATCAAATTATTATTCAACTAAAATAACAAGTTTTTAAGCCCAAATTATTCCTCGAGTTATCATATACTCATATAGTACTAATGACAATTGCATTGTGACCTTTATATTTTAATTCTTGACTACTTAAGAGTTTTTTTAAGTTCTTTTTAAAATTTTAATTTATTTTATTACTAGATCTACTTGTCAATCACAACATTATTTGATCTATATTTGGGGGATTTGACAAGTAGATAATTCATTACCACTTTTTATCTTCCATTTCGTCATAAATGTTTTCATAAACAAGAATGTTATGATACATGCTATGATAAGTGTGTATGCTATACTCTTTTTTTAGTCCAAGATTCGCCAATATTGCTTGGCATCATCATTCATCACGTTTTTCAAAGCCCTTGGAGCCAAAGAGCAGAAAAGAGACGAGTGATTACATTCATTGGATAATACTTGAGCAATAATTACTTAATTAGAGTGCCCTGAATTAAGGCCGACCCGCGAGGAGCACAATATTTCAATTCAAAATGTTATGTTTTCTAGTTGGTTAGCAATAACAAATTGTCGATAGATTATTCCTCTCCAAATAAACATATCCAAGTATCAAATTTTCGTACGATAGATTATTACGTACGCAGTTTTTTTTTTTTTTTTTTTTTTTTTTTGATTAGAGATAAGGGCGAGTGATAAGAATCGATACCAAATTAAGGGCTAAACCCAGTTGGTATCCTATAATAACAAAAACATGTTTATATCACCAATTTTTCTCTCTCCTCCCCTCACATGGACATTATTTCCTTCTCTCTCCTCTATTCCCATGACCACTATTTCCTTCTTTCTCCGCCCCTCCCATGGCCATGGCCAAGATCGACCACCATAACGGCTTTAAATTGGCCGGCCGATCGGCCAAACAAAAGACACCCCAGTAGCAAATTATGAAAATTGGGCCCATACTAACCCCTTAATAAAAAGTAATTTGTTTCTACTTGAGTTTGTGACTTTGTGAGCTACTAAGAGGTCCAAAATGAATTTAGCCTATTTCATTTCAGAATCTTTTTTTTTTTAAAAAAAAAAACACATTTACTTGGAGGGGGTGGATGTTGGGACTTGGGACTACCAGAGCACAATCATGCACTTTCAAGAAGATGCACAGACTAGACTGCTGTCAAAAACAGGTTCTGAGGACAAGATGCAATGACTTAAACGAGGATTAACAATCTTGATGGGTAACGTTACATTGTCGGAAAAACAGGCACTAAGGCTCTGTTAACTAGTACTTTGTAATTCGTATATTAGATAACAAGTGTACTCAGTATTATGTCCTCCTAAAAGGATAGACAGAAACAAGGAATTTCAATATCTGGTCTGCATATTCTCAAAGTGTTAAGATGTCATCATGTTGCTAGCCGCAATTCTAACTTAGCAGCACAGATGTAACTTCCTTTGTGCATTAAGAAGCTTTCATGTCATCCAAGCCCACACTAGCCTGAAACACGAGGAGGAAAAACGAGCATCAGAATAAAGAGCATGGTAAGTTAATGCATAAAATCACCAAAACAAGATACAAGATTACAAGCCATATAACTAGTATTCCAAACATAAATCGCAAAGATTACCACATTTAAATGGAAAACAAAAAACAAAGTACTACGTATGTGTTTCCCACTTCACATTACACTTTCAATCAGAACTAATAAAAAAATCTAATAACTTGTGAAGGCAACACCAACCTGTAGCATACTCCCTCTATCCCTATATTATGAGCCATGATTTTATTTTTGGACGCCTCAAAAAAATGATGCCACATTATAAATTTAGTAAATTGAAATTTATACTTTTCCATGTTACGAACACCTTAATTATACCCTCAGCTAACTATATAAATGAAAGACTACTTTGGCATGGTTGGAGAAATAAAATTAATAAAGTGAAGAAAAGTTGTGGGTTTTCAGACTGGGAAGAGGTAACACTTGGGTACTTTTACTTCTCTATACAACATTTTTAAATAACATCGATAAAAAAAAAGATAAAAAATAAAAAATAAATGATTAGTGAGAAAGACTGATAAAGACATTTAAAGTTTCACACACATTAATCATTGATTATTTTAAGTTCATCTTACCAAAAACTTGTGGTTTTGCTGAAGCAGGGGATTGAAGGTGGTCAAAAACTGCTCAATGTCGCATTTGACAGCATCACCCCCAAGCACCTCCATAAACTTGTTCCTATCTGGAGCTAACTTCATTGCAATCTGCAAGAACAGTTCATACTCCATGAAAATTATATGACAAACACCTTTGACACTACAGCCTGGGTACCATTACAGCAGATTTTGAGTTATCTATGAGTCAGCAAATTTCAACAATGGGGTAACTGCCTAAATACTCTGAACATACAATTGGAATGAAGATAGATAGACAATGCCACGCAATGGGTAAATGTTAAAGAAGCTTATTAATTGGCTTAATTGGATGGAGTATAAATTATGTATATATTTCACCAAAAAATGAACACACTCCATCCAATCAAGAGAAAAACATACTTAGGCAATTTTAGGAATACTCCACATAAAAGGGCACGGAACTCTATTAACTGGAAGTGGATTAGTGAAAAGATTTCTTGACTTACAGAGAAGCTTGAACTGGCAAGCCACCCGTGCCATTTCTTCAAGGTCTTGCCATAGGAGTCTGTACAAGCTTGAGACATTGACCAGTCTGGGTGCTCAAGCAAATTGCGGAATAATTCCACCAAGAAATCCATAGCTCTACAAAGTAATTACAGTAATGTCATGCACTACCAATTGCAAAAACAGAGAAAATACTTTGATAAAAGGAAGTTTATCCCATTCATGATCATATAACTCCAGTATTCATCACATGCTGGGTCAGACAGAAGGTTATGATACAGAGATTAGGAATCCATAGATCACAATAGGAGTGAGAAAAGTAAAAGGAGAAGGAAGCTAATTGTCAATGCCTCTCCACAATACCTCAGCACAGAAACTCAAAAGTAACAAGTCAGTCGTAATGATCAACTCTTGTCACTTGGAAGTGGACTATCAAGTATTAACCTGCCTCCACAATAAGAGGCAACAAATTATACAGAAAGACAAACATGAAATCGTACTATGATCTACCTTGTTAGCCAAAGCAGGCCGTTGGTACAGCTGGATGATCCTTTAGCTGTCTTACTTTCAACCTCCACTTGTACCATACTATACAAATACTTAAATTTTTCTGGATCTGAGTTGTACTTGTTTTCCAATCTCTGCAACAATATTTCTGATCAATGCCAAATTAAGAAAGATAAAGAGGCATCCAAAATTTTGTCAATTTCAACTTGGCTTAGAGATCACATGATTCAAAGCAGGAAAAGTTTCAGTAGAAGGTGTTTCCATTGTGATCGCGCATTTTTCTGTAGAGAAAGGCTTAAAAACAAAAATAGAAAATCGAAGATAACCAAAATATAAGTAGGAGACCTTTTCCATAATCCTACTAGAAGGCTCATAAAAGATATCCAGGAAGGAAGCATCATGGGACAGAGTTACAAAAGTAGCTCCCCCTCCCCCCCCCCCCCACCCCTATCCAATAATAAACCACAAAATGGGCAAACAAAAAAAAAAAAAAAGAAAACAGGAAGGAAAGTAGCTTACCGTAATATTTCCACCAATATCAGATTTTACAAGTGTCATTGCAGCACCAAATTTGTCTGCATCAGACAAAATATAAAAATAAGAACGCTTATATCAGCCAAACATAGCAGACATGAGGGAAAGAAGAGAGGAGGGGGTGGGGGGTGGGGGTGGGCGGGGATCTTCCCTCACTCTATAATTCACTGAGCAGGTATTGTAATCAGAACTCAGAAGTAATAAACAATGTCTTCCTTAATAGCTAAAACCTCACCCGAGTGATCATAATCAACAAAGAGCAGTTCATAAACTACCAAATAGAAAGCTACTGTATAAAGAAGTAACAGTTATATCTCATGTCCAAACTAAGTTGGCACCTTTCCTAATATTGAGATGTCATATCCAGAAATGTATGAGGTTGGGACTATGCGACAGCTACTTCCTTTAATAAAGTTAGAGGTAATAAAACTATTATCCTGTACACAATATAATTTGATCAAGTGTAATAAAAAAGAGGTGGATATGGCACGGACTTCCGTTATTTCATACTACAATCAGGAATCACAATATTGACTCTTTATAATAATATATTTAACTTCAAGTTTCAGAATATAATTATTATTAAGACTTTACGAGTGTCTCATATCACCTATTATAGCCCGTGCAAATTGCATGGGCTTAAAAGCTAGTAGAAAACTATATTAAAAACCAGACACTACATTGACGGACCTATGACAGGCAGAATGTGCTTGCATGCATCCAAGAAAGGCCTGGTCAACATTTCTCCATCCTCGGACTTGACCAGCTTAATTCCTTCCAAAGCTGGGGTAAAGACACTTCCTTGAGTTCCTTCCATATTGTCCCTAACTGCACCAAACAATTACATAACACATTAATAAAGATATCAGCATACCAGATATGAACTCTAAAGCACAACGAGGTCACATTACTTAGGCCTGAGACAAGCACTACAGAGAGGTGTAAAGTTAGGTTTGGACATTTCTCTTCTGAAAAGTGAAAAGTACTGTCCGTTTTTATTCTAATTTTTTAGTGTTCAAATGCATTTTTACACCAACGAGTATAATAACAATCCCAAACTTAGTATTGAAACCAAGAGTCTACACAGCACAATTATGGCCAACACAGCAATGCAACAAGCAAACAACAAGAACTTTGAATTTAAGCGAAGTTTATAACATTGACCTTTGTGGCTCTCTCAACACCCAAAAAAACCAATGGCTTTTCGTTTATAAAAATGTGCAAATTGATCAACAACTCAGAAAGCAACAAATTACAGGCAATATTATATTTGTATCGGCATAGATAACCAGCCAATCATAAAAACTTCAACTTTTCCAAAAAATGACTTTAAGCACATCATTGATCAAGCAATTTTTTTTTTTTACCAGCACATTGTTAAACTATCGAAATCTAAAGGTAAATATTGGCAAAAACTCTAAGCAGACTCTCAATAGTCAAAGTTAACAAGTGGCAAACTACAGAGTATTTCATTAATCATACACAAACGGCAAACCCATCCAAATCAATGCAAATTCAATCTTATAGCATCACGATTTGCTACCTATTAATGTTAAATCAGGCCAAAAATGTACCACTTTCGTGTACTAATTCTCATTTTTCAGATTGCATTTCGCGAGGATTAGCTAATCAGGTAACACTAATAGACATCATCAATACATCAGACAAACTCCAATGAAGCATTTTGCATTCACACATTTATTTACACCATAAAACCATTAAACAATCAAAATGAAGCTTACAAACATAAATTAACAAACTTTATAAACAAAATCCAACAAAATGTCATTTAAAAAAGAAAAAAAAAAAACAAGCATACCACTAACAACAACAATCTGATCAGATCCAACAAAATTTGCAGCAATCAAACTTATAACTGAAGATTTTTTTTTAAAAAAATCAAAATTTAGGAGAAAGAAAGGAATATAGAAGTACCCTTTTCAGCAAAAAGCGTAGAATTGAAGCAGAGCTGATCTAATTACGTAAAATAAAAGAGAAAGCAGAGATTCGAAGGAATTGAAAAGGGGGTTTTAGGGAATCGGATTCCAAAATCTATGATGATCAATGAGGCGTAAATTAATCAAATTGTACCAAGAAATATGAAATTAAAATGCTGGGGATTTGATTTAATTGTTGATCGATCTAAATTTAAAGGAAAAAATTAAGTGGATAATGAAATGAAAAGGGTAATTACCTGTTTATCTCTCTTGCAACTGCAACTGGTGTTATTTGCCTTCCAATAATCAAGCTTTGGGGAAATGGGGGGAAATAAACGATCTCAGTTTTTATTTTATTTATTTATTTTTTTATTTTTTGAGGAAACTCTGCCAGTGGAACGAGAAAATACAAGTTATCTTCACGATAAACTTAAAGCAATTATCTAAGGGTATAATTGTCCATTTGTGTAATTAAGTATAGCTAAGTTTGTAATTTCAATAATTAACACCGTTAAACTTGAGGAAAGCCGTTAATGGAAGCAATTAAATTCGACAGTTTCACTAGGAATTTTAGAAACTTCAATACAGAAATACAAGTTCAAGGAGAGGCTTCAATGGAAATAATTTTCACCCCTACCCTTTGGGGTTGACCTTGCCTTTAGTTTCTCTCTTTTACCTTAGGGTTTTCGTTTAGTTCAGCGGCGAAACCGCCGGAAATGGTGGTCGACATGTCGGTGGAGGGTGGGTGATCGAGGATGAAGAAGAAGAAGAAGAAGAAGAAGAAGAAGGTGGGAGGTGAAGGAAAGCTCCGGGTCCTTTAATGGCAGACCGATGTGAATTGGGGGAGGAAGAAGAAGATGGGTGGAGGAGATGAAGGTTGGAGTTAACGCGTCCTTATTTTAAAATTAAAGCTAAATAAAAATAAACAAAAAAAATTATTTTTTAATATTCTGGCACGATTCCCAACGCCTTATATTTACTATAATGCCATTAGATAAACGTCTCATGTTTATCATCACGATAAATTGGGGCTCCCCTGAGTGGAACTAGATTAATAATTTAATACTCCGTAAGTCATTAGAGGCAAGATCCAACATATGAGTCGGGATTACATTTATCCACTCTCTTTCCGTGATGATCAAAAGTAAGTCAATTCATGAGTTACTCTATATTCGCTTCGTTTAACAAATGACCACTCCACAGTAGTAAAACTAGAGCACAACTCAACAATATTTTCCACAACTAAATGGAATGGAAGGAACTGGAGCCAACATGTTGTCCACGCAATACCTGAATCACACCCAAACAGTCGCTCTCCACCACGATCCTATCCACTCCCTCGTCCGCGCCAATTTCATACCCCAAAAAATTGCTTTAGCCACGAGCCACGACAGTATGTTTATTTCACTTCGGATTTGAATACAGGGATGCCTAATTGCCCAATTTCTAATCATGATAATTTCACAAAACTTCTCAAGGGGTGGTAAATGCAATACTTATCTCACTCTAGTTTCATAATTTGGTACCAGGTAATCTTTAGTTTGGTACAAGTAAGCTTTATTTTGGGTACTACCCCTTAACACACAACTTATCTCATGCTTGACCAAATAATAAAGTAAATCAAATGCTGTAAATATTCTTCAAACAGGCCCAATCTATTGCATCATGTTCATGTCCATTATATGATACAATTGCTTTCTTTCCGCTACTACTCTACACATACTTGATAATTTGATCATCTTTTCAGTTTTAAATTTGTACATTTGGGAACACGATTGAGCCAATATAACTCAAGCTCGACTATAGCAAAAAGAAATTAAACACCAAGAAAATTGCCTTATAAAATTGTTGCATTTCCTCAACTACACCATTGCACACTTAGATGTCTTGATTGGTTGATCTTGAATGGAAAATGAAACAGCCTTAAAGCCTATTGACAGGGTATTTAACCGCGTTTTTCACCATTTTTTTCAGGGCTGCATCAGCAAGGTCTATGCCACAGATATCAGACAGCCTGATGAGATATAGCAGCACATCAGATAGCTCTTCACCCAGATGCTCCTTGTCTGAGTCCTCCCAATTTGGTAAGCCTTTTTCCACCTCTCCTTTCCATTGGAATATCTCGGACAGCTCTCCGACTTCACCCACCTACAAGTGTAAAGCATACAGACGTAAAGATGAGAACAGAAATTAGGAGCATCAACAAACAAATTCCTGATATGAAAAATGTTTATTCTAACATGGTATCTTTAATCAAATGAATTGAAATGAGAAGGCATCTTATAATCTTCTTATTAGAAAATATTCTCATCTGCTAATTCAGGAAGTGTCACCTCAGAATATATGAATTATTCTGAACCCCACTAGGCACTAATATCAGTACCAACTACTCAACCGGAAAGAATCATGTAAACATCACCATCAATCTTTGTCACCTGAAACTTTGCTTCATCAAAAGTAATTGTATGACGAGGCATCATAATCAACCACATATACTTGCGATCATATAGCATCTAGCTAGGTCCTGCTTCTAGGTGTCGCATTATAACAGCGACCTGTACGTACACCATCTGTACCTTTGTTGAGATGAAAACCTTTCTACACTGTCACCGACATTAGAGGAACAGCTAAAAGGTCCCATAGATCAATTATGTGCTGCTTTTATTAATGAATTACGAATCATAAAGAACTAATAACCACCATCAGATGGATTAAGCTCCCCTGGACAGTTAATCAAGTGTTCTCTTTAGTACATTATAACCAAAAAACTATTTATCCATCACTATACCAAGATAAGGCTTAATTAGCTTATAGATGTTGCAAGTAATTATGTAAAATTATAGTGGAACAAATCGTTTAAAACAACGAAAAAAGTAATGAATTTATGACAACGAATGCAGATGCTGCCTTTCTATATCTTGCTATCAATAGTATGAAATTGCAAGAAATTTTTCAACTTTACATAATCAAAGGCTATGCATTCAGAAGAGCATCTCTGAAACCACTGACAATACTAGCCCCTGCATATCAGGAGGTAACCGTAAATATTTGGGAGATGAATGGGAAAAATGTGTTGTATGTATCCCATTTCTATCATCTGCCATGAGAATTACCAGAAATTTTCTTAACAAAAAATGTTTATATAGCTTGCAGGTTACTACAAATTAAACTAATAGCTTGCTGTCAATGAAAACCACTAAGCTGTAAGGCTCCCCACAACCCAAATTCTTGGCATCAAATGATTTTCAGTGATCAATAGTGAATTCCCACCTAAAGGAAACTTAAATATATTCGCGCTAACATAATAATCTTGTTCTTATACAATCAATTACGATGTAATACATAAACAGTTTCAAACACTACAGAATGAACTAGACAGCTAGTACAAACTTGGCTTGTGATCAAAGAAATTTACCATGGCAAGAAGTAAGTTCCTGGGACTATGATACTTCTCCCAGTTTCGTGCCTGAGCGAATTCTTCGAGTTTTTTAGAGATATCCTTCAGGCTAATCTCCTTCACAATCTCTCCTGTCATACAAGTTTCACCCATGGTACTGATGCTAACAGCTTCAGCCTACAATACACTTGTTTAACACTGTAATGCAGAACAATGAAGAGCTACCACAAGATTTAAAGGCAAAGATATTACTATAAATTTTACAAGTAAAGAAAAAAGAATATACCAATCTGATTAAAAATCAATTCTTTTTTGTGAAGAGAGGAGGTTAGTTAATGCTTTAGGGACAAATTATTCTTACACATTGACAGATTCCTCAATAACCGCCCACCATACAAAATAGCCAACTTCCCTACATCAGAATAATTCCCTTAACTAAGGTTTGCAGTTTGCAAGATAGTTGTAATTGTTTAATTATAGTTGAAATTGAGCGCATCAAAGTGTCTGTAATCCCTGTGAATGCCAACTAACTTAGTTAAAGTCTTAGGGTGGCCGGGTGGTGACCATTAAGCAAAACTGTTTATCAAATCCCGTCTACATCATTGCCGTTTGCAGCTCACTATATTTCCATACAATTTTGCAAAGAATATGAGTTTTTGCTTATAAGTTGAGACATTCATGTAACCAAACTACCCTCAATTCTCTATATGCCGTTTTCAGCTCACTCGTAATAAAGCAGCGCATAATGTAGTCTCACTGAGTCACACAATAGATAGTCATCAACAAAAGGACCCTCTAATTTTTAAACATTAAGTTATCTTATTTTCTTAACTTTGATAGATTAGGTCTTAGTCTTGAGAAAAACGGACTTATTGTACGTATTCATGTATCTTTTTGTAAAAAAAAAAACGTAGCTAAGTTTCACATGTGATACTGTTGGCATCATGTATCACATCTGAATAAATGTCAATAGCGACTTAGTGAAGGGGTTGAGTCTTAGCTTTATCAACTCCATAGCATTCAAGCAATTTGAGAAGATGATTATCTTTATCATGGCCGCCTGATTTTTTGCTAGTGTTGACAATTTACTTGGTTGCATTTGTAGACAAGAATTCTATATTGTGGTTCCTTCTCCTAACTTTTTTTGTATACGAAGTATATGATAATGAAGAGGAAAAATTCTATCTTTGAGAAAAAATATCAAGAGAGAACACATTCCCTTCATCCTTGGATCTTTGAACAATGAATAATCTAGTTAATTCTTGTTCCTTGAGATAAGAATATATATCATGTACATGCAACAATAATGACACTAATAATCATATACTTTATGAAACTACGAGTATGTGTTCAAATATCAAACTCAACTATGTAATGAAACTTGACCATAGTTTATTAGTGTTTGTTCAAAATGTTGAGCCACATATTCATATCTATATTGTAGAGTTAAGGCCAGATTCGACACCATTCATGAGGTGATATGATCATATAAAAAGTTCGAGAAACATAGCTATAAAGGTTTTTTTTGCCGCCCTTAGCTTCCTCTTATCCCTCCAAAAGTAGTTATATTTTCATGTGTGCTTATTATTTTAATTTTTTTTTTTTGGTATTTCACCCGATTCACCCTTTAGACTAATCTGAATTTGGGGATCAGTTTTAGGTAGTTAGGTTGCAGTCCCCTTCCAATTATTGTTGCGGGGGATCGAACACGCGGTCCTCCTTACTATTCACCACCCTTCCTTTGACCGCCTTTTGTGAATAATATGTAAGCAATAACATATTCACGTGAGATCTTTTTGAATTCGTCTCTATAAGTACTATCATAATATATAACTTTTATAATTTTTACTTATGAATAATTAAATACGTTAAAGTTTTGCATTAGCAAGCGTGATAAAATAAACAGGTCAAGTAAAAAAGAGCAGAAGAAGTACTATTTAATTATCATTACAAGTATTCAACACCTAGAGAAAACATGCATGAAACTAAGCAAAGCATCATACAAAGCTATTTTTTTGATAAACTGATAATATATATTAATGCTAGCTTAGCTTTATTATGCATACTTTCATGCTAGGCTTTGACAATTCTTTAAAAATCTCAATAGTTGAATTTTGAGCGCATAATGAGGCATCTAATCTAATCTTCTGGGTGATTCTTCGTGGACACTGAGGATACAAATCTCTTCACACTAAGCCAAGCATTTAAGAAGAGTAGGTAAATATTTCAAGGCTCGTAGGATTCTTCTTTTTACTGCTTTGTATTTTTTATAGTGAAGTTGCCAACACAAATTCATAGAGTACGGCTATACATTAATATAATACTCCATATTTTTATACTTCATATTAGTAAAATCAATTTATACCACATTAATTGATGGAAATTTTGTTAAAAACTACCATTTAAATGGCCAGGGCCATCTTGATCCTTTTGAGGGCCCTGCGCTATTTAAAAATAATGAAGTCCTATATTTTTTATTCTCTTCATTTCATAATAATTGACATGTTTAAACTTAACACACATGTCATTATGTGAGTTTGACCATTAATATATATAATTAAGCATTTATTAAAATTATTTAGAATGAAGTTTGTTAGCTTAAAAATAAAATTATTTAGAAGTTAATATAAGTAATTACACTTCATATTAAAAGCTATCTAAAAACATTTTAAATAATACTAATTGCATTTCATACACTACTCGAAATCTATAGTCAAAGTTAGTATATGAATAGACAAAGTATATCAATTATCAAGGAACGGAGGGATCAAGGGAGTATTATATACCTCGCATTTCTTTATATTAGTCAATAATAAAAATATTCGCTAGGAAGGTTTATACAGTTAAATTTAAAGTCATAGAAATATATCTTCTTTTAAAAGAAAATAAAGATTTACATATACTAATGATACATATTAAAAAGGTGGAAGTTATAGAAAGTATAAAATACAAAACTGTTAATCTTAGTATGTCTATAAAAATTTGGAATTTCATAATAGTTTGTCTTTAGAGAAAACTATGCTACGTATTTAAAAAACCAAAGGGTAAAATAAAAAGAACAAAATTAAACCAAAGGAAAAAAAAAAAAGTTCAGGTGCGTATGAGACCCTATACATATCATATAATACTGGAAAAAGCTCTACACCATGAGCTTATGAGACCCTATATGGTCATCTAGAATGTTCAAAAGGTTTACAATATTCTTATATAAATTTATGTAACTAATAGAAATATTCGCATCTATATGTAGCTAAAGTGTTTTGTAGGAACACAAGTTATGTGTTATTACTTGTGTTCCTTCACACTTCATAAGTTTTATGAGCTATAGAAATAGATTAGTTTTGTTTTTTTTTTTTTTTTAAAAAAAAGACACTATGTTGCTAAGCCTGCAAAATGCAACATCTAAGTATCACCTTTTTAAGGTGAGTGTTATGTAGGAACACAGGTCATTACCCATGTTCCTTCATAAAATTTCCAACCTATTACTGCCAATGATTCTTATACTGGAGAAACTTTCCTACTGCAAAACCAGCAAAATGCAGTATCTAAATATCATACTTCTAAGTTTAATATTAGCAAAAGGGATTCTTCACCAAACCTTATCATATTAGGGATTCAGGTTGAGGGGTTTAAAGTTGTTGTGATATTCTCAACATCTGTCTGTTCAGTTTTTCTGCTTTTGAATGCAGGTGCTTGCACATTTGCAGAATCTGTGTTGATTGTCTCAGCATTTCCTTGGCATGGATCTGTAGAATCACAGCGCTTTTCTTTGTTGTCAACAATGGGAATGGAGATTTTGGTCTTTGGAGATCCAAGTTGGTTGACAGATTCTAAGGTCCTTTTGTTGAATGAAGAACGTGGCCGCCTATGCGCTGACCAATCAGGAAATGGTGGGCTTCCAGATGTTGTGATAGTGGCACTCCTAATTTCACCCACTTCTGGTTCAATAGGTTTCTTGCTCCCATGTTTCTCAGTTGTTTCATCTTTGTTGCAACTGGCTACTATTGGAATTGGAATGCTATCAGAGTATAGAGTGTGTGCTGAATTCCTTTTGAGGAATGCACCATCATCAGTTGATATGCGAACATCCTCTAATATCCATTGTAGTTTGTTACTAGCAGTTAATGCTGGTGAGGGACCAACTTTCAGGTGGAATACCTTGGAGCTGATGTTCTGGCATGCAGTAGTAAAAGAGAGTATATCTTCCTGTGAGTGTTAAGAGTTAAGTAAGTTAACACATAAATTAATGCTATATAGGCGTGTATTTAGAAGATAGGGTATAAATCTGTTACAATATATATATATATATATATATATATATATATATATATATATATATATATATAGAGAGAGAGAGAGAGAGAGAGAGAGAGAGAGAGAGAGAGAGAAGAGAGAGAGAGAAAAAAAAAAAAAAAAAAAAAAAAAAAAAAAAAAAAGAGAGAGAGAGAGAGAGAGAGAGAGAGAGAGAGAGAGAGAGAGAGAGAGAGAGAGAGAGAGAGAGAGAGAGAGAGAGAGAGAGAGAGAGAGAGAGAAGAGAGAGAGAGAGGAGAGAGAGAGAGAGAGAGAGAGAGAGAGAGAGAGAGAGAGAGAGAGAGAGAGAGGTTCCGCTAAAAACAGGGCTTATGGTGAAAATTAAAAATAGAAAATCTCAACCATCCATTATTACTAACAAGATCTAACGGTTTAAAAAAAACAAAAAAACGTAGAGTCACTATATAAAAAAATAACGTAACTGTATACAAAAATAGGGTAACTATATCAATTTTGTCCACATTTACATATATGTCGCTATATACAATGATAAGATAACTATATTAATTATAGCTTGCAATGTTGCTGAAAATCTAACAAGATTGATATATACAAAAATAAGGTGACTGAAACAAAATTTACAACATTTCCATGATACTAAGGTCTTTATATACGAAAATAAAGTAACTATATATAAATTTCGGGTAATTATATCAATTTGACACCATTTACCCGGAGGTCACTATATATAAAAATAAGGTAACAATATCAATTTAATAATTATACAGAGGTCAAGTTAATTATAATTTGACTACAATTTAAAAAGATCACTACATGTAAGCCTATGTAGGATTCGAACCCACATCATGTGCACAATACAAGTACACAATGCTCGACCGATTGAGCTAATAGACTTTCGACACACAAAAACAATAAAGCTAATAACTCATATTATTGCACAAAATTAAGAGTCACTATAACAAAATTAATAAATGCTAAGCTTTGCTTTGTGTCAAAAAAAAAAACCCCCAAGTATTACGAGGATATACATCCAACATAGTAAATCACTAACATACTTAATTATCATAAGATAACATCACTATATCCATGAATAATCCATGTGCCAATGCTATTATATTGCCGAAAAACCAAGGTTCCCCGCTATGTAAGGGAGGGAAAGAAGATCAACAAG